GGGGGAATGTGCACTCACGTGTCAGGGCAGAGCGAGTAGGAATGGGTGCTGGTAACTCTGGACTCCAAAATTGCTCATTTTGGCTCAGCTCTTTGGTTTTCTTAGGAGTCCGACAAACTCTCCTGAGAGTTACATGCCATGCACAAAAATGTGTGTCTGCACCTCTGAACCCCACCCCAGCATCTCGCGTTCCAAGGGTCTAAGGGTGCAGAAGGTGTGTCTGAGCCCCTAAATGCCAGGTTTGGACAAGTGCAAGGCCCAATACCCTTTAGATTTATTTATTTATTTATTTAACTTATTTGCCACCCACTCTACCCAAAGGTCTCTGGGCGGCTTACAACATTGTAACTATCATGGTAACCAATTCCTTTCGGGATGTTGCTGATTCAGTGAGACTGCTCTCCTGTGGCAGCTCTCAGCTTCCATATATGGTCCTCATGTTCGGCACGGTTGACCCATAATGAGAGCTGTAATTAGGGGCAGGTGACTAGGGCTTTGGCTGAAGGTAGCAAAAGCTAGAGGGTTTGTTACTGGGAGGGCAGAGAGACCCCCCCCTTGCTGGTATTTGACAAGGGAAGAGAATCTCCCCACCCAGATGTATGAATGGCCACTCTTCCCCAGATGGAAACATGAATCAAGTGGGCTTGGTGTGGGACCCAGGGGGCCCTAAGGCAGTTGGATCCTGGCATTTTTGCCCCCTTCCTCTTATCTCAGCGTTTCCCCACCTTAGCTCCCCAGATGCTCTCGGACTACAACTCCCAGAAGCCTTCACCACTCGCTATTCTGGCCAGGATTTCGGGGGAGTTGTTGTCCAAGAACGTCTGGGGAACCAAGGTTGGGCCCCACTGCCGTCTATCCTCTCCTGGTAGGTGCTGCATATTGAGCTTAAAGGAGGCTACAATTCCCAGCTTGCTGGCTCGAAAGAGGCCCTGTTCCAGATGAGTAAAACGTAGGTGTCTGTAAGCAAGGATTCTACGGATATGGTAAAAAGGATCCCTTCAAATGATGGGTTGTAATACTGTATTTACAAATTAAGATAATCCTCCCCCTAAAAACATGAGAGTAATTTCAATTACTACATGTAGTGATTAGTTACATAGCATAGTATGCAATACAGTGGTGCCTCGCATAACAAGCGCACCGTTTAACGACGAATTCGCATAGCGATCCGTTTTCTGGGATCGCTAATGCAATCGCATACCGATGGTTCCAATGGGCAAAAATCGCTTTGCAACGATCGGTAAGCATTTTGCTTACCGATCTTCGCATTGCGATGTCGGGGGAACAGCTGATCGGCGGCTCCAAAATGGCCGCCGGAAGACCCAAAATGGCCGCGCGCAGCATTTTCGCACCCTGCCCTCGCTTACCGAGGGCGCGAAAATGACTGCGCTATGGAGGAACATCGCTGAACGGTGAGTTTGGGGCCCATTGGAATGCATTAAACAAAGTTTAATGCTTTCCAATGGGTTTTTCTATTCCGTTTAGTGATGTTTCCGAATAGCAATGGTTAATCTGGAATGGATTAACCTCGGTATGCGGGGCACCACTGTACTATATTAATAGTTACATGTCATCATGTTGATTTCCACTTATGGCAGCCTTTCCTAAGGTTTCCTGGGTATGGAATACTCAAAAAGTGTTTTACCTTTCCCGTCCTCTGGAGGCAGCCTTGGGACTGTGCAGCAGGCCACCCAGGCTGGCTCTTCTCCTAGGTGGCCCATTGGGGGAATTGAATTCTTGTTTCTGGCTCCACCGATACTCAGCTGAGGAAGCTATATAACTAGCTCCTAACCCAATCTTTGGCTACAAAATTCAAAGATACAGATTTGACACACAGCCCTCATAGGAAAAATTAATATACCAAATTAATGTCATCATATAGACAGACAATCACCTTTTTGCCACATAGTTTTTATTAATTCTCCCATCATAAACTTTTCAACATATAGTTCTCCAATTACACATATTAGCTTGTGGTGTGATATCTTCATGTAAAGGAGAAGGGATTTCAAATATAACAAGAGGACGCAGAATAGATACCTCATATTAAGACAGAAGGGTCCTATACATTTTTAAAATGTCCTTGTCTATTGATCCTTGAGGCTATCCATAAAATTATATTTACAAATCCTAAGCATCTACAGTGGTGCCTCGCACAGCGAGGTTAATCCGTTCCGGATTCACCCTCGCTGTGTGAAAGAATCGTTGAACGGGGCAGGAAAAGTCATTGGAACGCATTAAACAGGGTTTAATGCGTTCCAATTGGGCCGAATATTCACTGTTCAGCGAGGCTTCTCTATGGCCGGCAGCCATTTTCGCGCCCTCTCCTCGCTTAACGAGGGCGCGAAAATGCCGCGCGTGGCCATTTTGGGGCTTCCGGTGGCCATTTTGTAGCCGTGGAACAGCTGATCGGCGGGTTGCAAAGCGAAGATCGGTAAGCGAACCGCTTACCGACCTTCGCTCTGCGATTTTCGCCCATTGGGGCTGTCGCTCTGCGATCGCATTAGCGATCGAAAAAACGTCCCCGTAGAGCGAATTCATCGCTCTACGGGGCGCTCGTTGTGCGAGGCACCACTGTACTTTTTATATTTTCCTGACCAGACTCTGGGGCTTGAGACTCAAAATTCACACTACCGGCTCTCAGGGGCAGCCTAAACTTCAAGAAAGGCTCCTGAAACTGATGAGCAAAAGATACCAACAATTGATAGCTGAAAATAAGAAGGAAGAACAAAAGTACCTATATACTCGAGTACAAGCCAACACGAATATAAGCCAAGGCACCGAAATTTACCACAAAAAACTGGGAAAACTTATTGACTCTAGTATAAGCCAACGATGGAAAATGCAGCAGCTACTGGTAAATTTCAAAAATAAAAATAGATACCAATAAAATTACACTAATTGAGGCATCAGTAGGTTAAATGTTTTTGAAGATACAGTGGTGCCTCGCTTAGCAACATTAATTCGTTCCGCAAAAATCGCTGCAGAACGAAAACGTCGCTATGCGATATTAAAAAGCCCATAGAAACGCATTGAAACCCCTTCAATGCATTCCTATGGGCTTAAAACCCACCATTGAGCGAAGATCCTCCATAGCGCCGCCATTTCCGGTGCCTCTAAAGCGAGGAATCCGTCCCTAAACAGAGTGGACAACCATGTTTTTTTCCGGCAGCCATTTTGAAACCGCTGATCAGCTGTGCGAAAATGGGGGCTTTGCGATGATCGCTTCCCTGCGATCATCGCAAAGCGAAAATACCCCATAGAGAACATTGCAAAGCGATCGCTTTTGCGATCGCAAAAACAGCATCGCTAAGCGATTTCGTCGCTAAACAGAGCGATCGCTAAGCGAGGCACCACTGTACTGCCTTTCTGAGCTGTGAGACACACTTCACTGCCTGCGGAGGGGGGACTCATACCGGATGCTGCGCTTATCTACTGCTCTACTACTGCGTAACAAGATGAAAGGAGACGGGGGATGGAGGAGGAAGGTGGGAGGAGGAAGGTGGGTACACAGAATATGCAGAAGAAGAGAATGTGGGAGTATCCTGGAAGTGGAAATGCAGTGTACTTAACCTGGATCATCAGGCCACCCTCAGAGGCTGCAGGCGCCTGTAGATGAGCAGGGAAGTCCAGAGAACACCCGCACTGCAGGGGAGAATATGTAATTTTGACACTGACTCGAGTATAAGCCAAGGGGGTTGCTTTTTTAAGGAAAAAAAGTGTGCTGAAAAACTAGGCTTATACTCAAGTATATACAGTAAGTAGCCATTCAAAGATGAAGAAATTCAGAGGGGTTATTCAAACACGGACTATGACAGATCCCTGTCCCAGAGTGCAGCCTACTGAAATATTTCATTGCAATTTAAGTAGATCTCAGAGTGGCCATAAAGTCAGATAAGACAGAGTATTCTATGGATGGCCTACTAAGGAAACATTTAATAGTTTCTAGCAGTTGCTAACAATAACTCCAAGCACTTCTTGCTTAGCAACACAGTTTTAGTACTTCTAGCACATGGCAAATCAAGCAACACATGTCTAGCAAAGGTAATCCCAACACAGCATTTTCAAAGAAAACATTCAGCATTGCAACATCCCCAACCCCAACATGTGCAGGAAGAAATCATGTTCAGGAAGCAGTTCAGTTGATTTCAGTTGTGCAACCAGAGAACTGGTTGTGCAGTCAAGACACACTGTCTGACTGGGTGTAATTCCCCATTAACTTCTGCAGGTGTAACATAGTACTCTGGCAAATGCAACTAGATTTCAGCTAGAAAGTTTGGACATAAGAAACGGCACACATGACCTCTTATTAAGGGACAAATCACTGCTATACTCTTGTCTCCAGTCTTGTTAGCATTGGTATCTTTCCTTCCCTCTGGAGCTTAGTGAATGTCTACCCTGGAAAGAGTCAGGTCTTTTTAGTGAATCCTTTCGGCACAACTGCAGTACTTCAGTCAAGACTCTGCTCCCAACCCAAGTTCAATCCTGACAGGCTCAGGTAGCTGGCAAGAGGCTGATTCAGCTGTCCATCCTTCCGAGGTGGGTTCATGTGAGTATCAAGTTTGCTTGGGAGGGCCATGTGTAACTTGTATAATTAAACTGTAAACTGCCCAGAGTGCTCTTTAAAGTGCCATGGAGCAGTATATAAGCAGCATGCTGGTTTGCTTTGAATCCGTTTACAAACCACTGTGGTGAGCTGTCAAGATTATGACTGGGACTGAAGCTTTTGCCTGCAAAGGAGCATGTAAAGGGCTTTTCAAGCATGTGCATTTTTAAAAGCAAGAGTTAGGAATCCCGATTCTGAGCACTTGTACGGTTTATACAGAGTGCTGTCCTCTGAAGATGCCGGCCACAGAGACTGGTGAAATGTTAGGAAGAACAACCTTCAGAACATGGCCAAAGAGCCCGAAAAACCCACAACAACCACTTGTACGGTTCCTCCCCAGCAGTGGTTCCCAACCTTGGGTAGCTTAGGTTTTCTTTGAGTGCAACTCCTAGAAATCCATCCAGCACAGATGGAAGCTCTTTCCACACTGAGAATTCATGGTTTTTTCTTCTTCTCTCCGAGTGCTTTGGTGGGCAGCAGATTTACCTCAGTACCCAAAACTGTTTCTACAATCTCAGCATTTATACAGTTTTCCTGCTGGGTGGGTTCTCTGCCAGCACAGTTCCTTTAGCATCTGAATCTCTCTTTCCATTCTGTGCCTGTTCTTTAATGGACAACATGGCTGTTGCTGGGTCCAAAGTTCTTCCCATACAATGCACCTTTCCTGTCTTCTGCAAGCTCTTTGGTGGTTAACAAGGGTGCTGCTGATTTTGAAGTGCTTTCCTCCGTACTGAAAGTCTGTGCCTTCTTTCTGGCATGGATCCTCTGATGGGCAGCAAGGGCGCTGCTTTGCCTGAAGCTCTTCCCACACTCGGAGCACGTGTATGGTTTTTCTCCAGTGTGCGTCCTTTGATGGACGGTTAGTCCGCTGCTCTGTCTAAAGCTCTTCCCGCACTCAGAGCATTTATAGGGTTTCTCTCCGGTGTGGGTTCGCTGGTGGTTAGCCAAGTGGCTGCTCTCTCTGAAGCTCTTCCCGCACTCGGAGCATTTATAGGGCTTCTCTCCTGTGTGGGTTCTTTGATGTTTCGCAAGGGTTCCCTTGTGTCTAAAAGTCTTTCCACACTCTGAGCATTTATAGGGCTTCTCCCTGGTGTGAATCCTTTGGTGAGCAGCAAGAGCGCTGCTCTGCCTGAAGCTCTTCCCACACTCGGAGCATTTGTAGGGTTTCTCTCCTGTGTGGGTTCTTTGATGTATGACAAGATGCATCCTCCAGCTGAAGCTCTTTCCACACTCTGAACATTTAAAAGGCTTCCCTCTGTGCTCTTTTCTAAATACGCCGACCCTTGTCATCCTAGTTAACATTCTTTTATTGATCTTCCTTCCATCACCTACAAGGGTAAACGGAGAAACAGGATCAGACAGGAACGGGTCTTCAATTCAGAAAGCAGGCCTTGATCATCATGTCTGATTTCAGAAAGCCTGCAGGGCTGGGGCAGTTGATTACCTGAAAGGGAGAGACACACACACCCAGTGTATTCCAGGAAGAGGCCCTCGCTCAGTAGTATGATAGAAAAGCTGAAGGTCCCTATGAAAAATAGTCCTGGCTGAAACACTGGAGGGCAGCTACCAGTCAGGCTTGATAGCACTAGGCTAAGTGGACTAAGGGATGTGGTGCACTGTGGGCTAAACCACAGAAGCCTCTGTGCTGCAGGATCAGAAGACCAGCAGTTGTAAGATCAAATCCATGCAATGGAGTGAGCTCCCACTGCTTTGTCCCAGCTCCTCGCCAACCTAGCAGTTCGAAAGCATGCAAATGCAAGTAGATAAATAGGTACCACCTCAGTGGGAAGGTAAAACAGCGTTCCCTAGTCACGCTGGCCACGTGACCACGGAAACTGTCTTCGGACAAGCGCTGGTTCTACGGCTTGAAAATGGGATGAGCACCACCCCTTAAAGTCGGACACACCTGGACTGAAAATGTCAAGGGGAACCTTTACCTTTACCTTAAGTGGACTAATGCTGCTACTTGTTCATCATCTTAGAACTGTAGAGCTGGAAGGGACCTTATAGATCATCAAGTTTAGTCCCTGTCAAAGAGGCATAGCAGGGAATCGAACTTCCAACCTCTGGCTACATAAGGCAAGTGTCAGGATCTATTAGATATGGAACAAAGACACCCTTACCCAAAGAGATCAGATGTCCCACATTTTCCTCCATGACTTCCTTGTGCAGGGCCTTCTGACCTGGATCCAGTAACGTCCACTCATCCTCCATAAAGTTCACAGCCACTTCCTCGAAGGTCACTGGTCCCTGAAAAGAGTCACAGCAGAAAAAAGCCTTTGATTTAGTACAGATCAGGTAGAAATTCCAAAAGTAAACATTGAAGGTAAACATGAGGTTAACACGTAAGTAAAAATGGTGGCAAGTTCTCCAGAGGGACTACTATCAAAGAGATGACGGAAATGTAATATAATTATAAATATAATTCATCCACACACTTGTATTTCTGATCACCATGTATAAGTGTGAAAGCTGGACAGTAAAGAAAAAAAATTGATTCATTCAAAATGTGGTGCTGGAGGACAGCTTTATCGATACCCTGAACTGCCAGAAAGGCAAAGTGGGTCCTAGATCAAGCCAAGCTCTAGAGGGGAAAAAAGTTGAGACTAAGGTTGTCTTACTCTGGGCACATCATGAGAAAGCAGGATTCTCTTGAAAAGGCCATCATCCTGGGAAATGGAGAAGGTAGCAGGGAAAGAGGAAGAACAAACACGAGATGGATGAACTCCCTAAAGGAAGCCACAGTCTTGAGTTTCCAAGAGCTGAGCAGGGATGTTGAGGTCAGGGCCTTCTGGAGATCATTCATTCATCGGGTTGCCATAAGTCAGAGGCCACTTGGCTCCACATAACAAGCGTGAGCTCTTGAAAACCTAGAAAGCTGGGGTCAAATTTTAGAGTTGGAAGGTGCAGGACTGGCCAGAGTCCAGAGGAACAAAAGGAAAATTGTGATAGCCCACTGACTCTGGAGCCCGTTTCCTTAGACCTTTTGTTTCCCTTAATTATTTCCTATCAGAGAAGTCACAGGGGAGATGATGGGAGGCCAGGCTAAGCCATTGGGGACCCCCCCTCCCAATGCCTTATGGCTCCTTCTATTTGAAATCTTTCAAGTTCTGCTCCAAGAGCTGTGTCATTATGTCAAGATCTGGGAGTCCAATTTCCCACCGATCCTCCTCCTGCTTTTATTGCATCATTTCCATTATTTTTATTTGTTTATTTATTTATAAGCCGCCTTTTTCCCGGTAAGAAGACCCAACTGTCCCACCTTCAAGCCATTTCTGGGCTATTGCCCTCCAGTCCTGCTTCTGGGCTTCCCAGATCAATTGGCAGGACAAAGAAGGTGTGAATGCACGGATCATTGACTTTAATGCATCGGGTTCTTTTAATGTTCTGCCTGTTTCTTCTCATTCCAAATCAACACCGTCAGGAACGAACGCCCCACCTTGGGTCTCCCCCACCACTTCTTCTTTTTCTTTTTTCTTCTCCTACCTGATCAGGTCGTATAGGAACTGTTTCTGCTCTTGACAGAGGAGGCTGCGATCCATCGCCTGTGGAAGAGAGACACAATATTGTTTGCCATTTCTCTTACTGCGCTGAAATTAATTCTTCACAAGGATGCTTGAATCCCCCCCCTTTTTTTGTAGAGCTTGGAAATGCTTTTCTGTGGGGAAGGGGGGCACAATGTCCAGAAAAACACTTCGCCACGCTAGCCGGAGGAACGGCAGAGTTACAAAAGTATTTCAACGTGATAGGTACAGTATATAACAAGGAGAGGACGAAATGGAATCCTACACCTTTTCCTCTCTCAAGGGTAACGATTAGAGATATGCGATTCATTACTGGGTTTTTTGAGGAGAAGGACTCCAATTCCCAGAATCCTCCATTCTGGGAGTTCCACCTGCCACACCCACACCTAAGTTGTGCTCACCTGGGGAAAAACTGGGCTGGAAAGCTTCATGGCCAAGGATAGGCCTAGTTCTGGCCCGGTGTCGTATTAGAAAACCTAAGCTTATCCTAGGCCTCAAAGCCCACTAGCCTGGTCTTTTTCCAGGTGAGCACCATTATGGAAGGTTTCATGGCTGAGGATAGGCCTAGCTCTGGACTAGCGTTCTGTTAGAAATCCTAGGTCTATCCTAGGCCTCAAAGCCTACTAGCCTGGTCTTTTTCCAGGTGAGTGCCATTATGGAAGGTTTCATGGCCAAGGATAGGCCTGGCTCTGGCCTAGCGTTCTATTAGAAATCCTAGGCCTATCGTAGGCCCCAAAGCCTAGCTGAGTCTTTTTCCACGTGAGCACTATTATAGAAGGTTTTATGGCCACAAATTCTTCTAGCCCAGACTTTCTCCAAGTGAGTGCAATTTAGCTGTGGCATGGGGAACCCACAGAAGGCAAAATTCTGGGATTCGGAGTCCTCCTCTGGAAAATAAAATAGCACATGCATAGTAACCACCTACTCCCCCAGCTAGCAAGGGTGATGAGTCCCTCCTCTATAATGAGGCTGTAGTCTATGGCAGTAGTTCTTAATGTTGGGTTACTCGGGTGTTTTTGAACTGCAACTCCCAGAAACCCCAGCCAGCACAGCTGGTGGTGAAGGCTTCTGGGAGCTGCAGTCCAAAAAAACCTGAGTAACCCAAGGTTAAGAACCAGTGGTCTAGGGGGTCATTTTTCTGGGCGTTCTGTTAGAAATCCTAGGCCTATCCTAGGCCTCAAAGCCTACTAGCCCAGTCTTTTTCCAGGTGAGTGCCATTATGGAAGGTTTCATGGCCAAGGATAGGCCTGGCTCTGGACTAGCGTTCTGTTAGAAATCCTAGGCCTATCCTAGGCCTCAAAGCCTACTAGCCCAGTCTTTTTCCAGGTGAGTGCCATTATGGAAGGTTTCATGGCCAAGGATAGGCCTGGCTCTGGACTAGCGTTCTGTTAGAAATCCTAGGCCTATCCTAGGCCTCAAAGCCTACTAGCCCAGTCTTTTTCCAGGTGAGTGCCATTATGGAAGGTTTCATGGCCAAGGATAGGCCTGGCTCTGGACTAGCGTTCTGTTAGAAATCCTAGGCCTATCCTAGGCCTCAAAGCCTACTAGCCCAGTCTTTTTCCAGGTGAGTGCCATTATGGAAGGTTTCATGGCCAAGGATAGGCCTGGCTCTGGACTAGCGTTCTGTTAGAAATCCTAGGCCTATCCTAGGCCTCAAAGCCTACTAGCCCAGTCTTTTTCCAGGTGAGTGCCATTATGGAAGGTTTCATGGCCAAGGATAGGCCTGGCTCTGGACTAGCGTTCTGTTAGAAATCCTAGGCCTATCCTAGGCCTCAAAGCCTACTAGCCCAGTCTTTTTCCAGGTGAGTGCCATTATGGAAGGTTTCATGGCCAAGGATAGGCCTGGCTCTGGACTAGCGTTCTGTTAGAAATCCTAGGCCTATCCTAGGCCTCAAAGCCTACTAGCCCAGTCTTTTTCCAGGTGAGTGCCATTATGGAAGGTTTCATGGCCAAGGATAGGCCTGGCTCTGGACTAGCGTTCTGTTAGAAATCCTAGGCCTATCCTAGGCCTCAAAGCCTACTAGCCCAGTCTTTTTCCAGGTGAGTGCCATTATGGAAGGTTTCATGGCCAAGGATAGGCCTGGCTCTGGACTAGCGTTCTGTTAGAAATCCTAGGCCTATCCTAGGCCTCAAAGCCTACTAGCCCAGTCTTTTTCCAGGTGAGTGCCATTATGGAAGGTTTCATGGCCAAGGATAGGCCTGGCTCTGGACTAGCGTTCTGTTAGAAATCCTAGGCCTATCCTAGGCCTCAAAGCCTACTAGCCCAGTCTTTTTCCAGGTGAGTGCCATTATGGAAGGTTTCATGGCCAAGGATAGGCCTGGCTCTGGACTAGCGTTCTGTTAGAAATCCTAGGCCTATCCTAGGCCTCAAAGCCTACTAGCCCAGTCTTTTTCCAGGTGAGTGCCATTATGGAAGGTTTCATGGCCAAGGATAGGCCTGGCTCTGGACTAGCGTTCTGTTAGAAATCCTAGGCCTATCCTAGGCCTCAAAGCCTACTAGCCCAGTCTTTTTCCAGGTGAGTGCCATTATGGAAGGTTTCATGGCCAAGGATAGGCCTGGCTCTGGACTAGCGTTCTGTTAGAAATCCTAGGCCTATCCTAGGCCTCAAAGCCTACTAGCCCAGTCTTTTTCCAGGTGAGTGCCATTATGGAAGGTTTCATGGCCAAGGATAGGCCTGGCTCTGGACTAGCGTTCTGTTAGAAATCCTAGGCCTATCCTAGGCCTCAAAGCCTACTAGCCCAGTCTTTTTCCAGGTGAGTGCCATTATGGAAGGTTTCATGGCCAAGGATAGGCCTGGCTCTGGACTAGCGTTCTGTTAGAAATCCTAGGCCTATCCTAGGCCTCAAAGCCTACTAGCCCAGTCTTTTTCCAGGTGAGTGCCATTATGGAAGGTTTCATGGCCAAGGATAGGCCTGGCTCTGGACTAGCGTTCTGTTAGAAATCCTAGGCCTATCCTAGGCCTCAAAGCCTACTAGCCCAGTCTTTTTCCAGGTGAGTGCCATTATGGAAGGTTTCATGGCCAAGGATAGGCCTGGCTCTGGCCTAGCGTTCTATTAGAAATCCTAGGCCTATCGTAGGCCCCAAAGCCTAGCTGAGTCTTTTTCCACGTGAGCACTATTATAGAAGGTTTTATGGCCACAAATTCTTCTAGCCCAGACTTTCTCCAAGTGAGTGCAATTTAGCTGTGGCATGGGGAACCCACAGAAGGCAAAATTCTGGGATTCGGAGTCCTCCTCTGGAAAATAAAATAGCACATGCTTAGTAACCACCTACTCCCCCAGCTAGCAAGGGTGATGAGTCCCTCCTCTATAATGAGGCTATAGTCTAGGGCAGTAGTTCTTAACACTTGGGTGTTTTTGAACTGCAACTCCCAGAAACCCCAGCCAGCACAGCTGGTGGTGAAGGCTTCTGGGAGCTGCAGTCCAAAAAAACCTGAGTAACCCAAGGTTAAGAACCAGTGGTCTAGGGGGTCATTTTTCTGGCTTCAGAGCCCTCTGGGAACTGCACCAGAGCCTGTAAACTGGAAGGTCATTTCCATGGTGGGGGAGGAAACAGTCCCCCCCCCCAAAAGCAGAGTTGAAACCTTGTTTTAGAGGGGAAATGCTCCCTGGGCATCCAGTTTTCCTTTTGCTTTAAGAAACTCAATTTTTATCCCCTCTAGAAACATGGGAAAGACTGCTTAGAGCCACGGAAATACTCCATAAGGTCCATTAATGGATACTGCACCTGTTCTTGAGAAGGCAGCTATCTCAGTGGGATAGCTTCGCTTTTGGTGGACATGATCCCTTTGTAAGCTCACTAGTTTATTCAATGTACACATTTACCTGGAAAAAAAAAGTCTCATTGGAACTGACAGGCTGTACTCTTGAGTAAGTAGATGAGAGAAGAGCATTTCTTCCTCAAAGAGAAGCAAAAGGAATGTTAAAGCTCTCTGAGAAGGTTAATCAAGCATCGTCATCATCATCATGTGCTGTCAAGTCAATTCAAACTTATGGTGACCCTTTTCAGGATTTTCCAGTGGAAACTACTCAGAAGTGGTTTCCCCTTCCCTTCCTCTAGGAGGAGCCCTGCGAGTGTACAGCTTACCCAAGGCCACCCAGGCTGGCTTTTCTCCCAGGAAACCCAGTGGAGGAATCCCAACCTCTGGCTCTGCAGCCTGATACTTAAACCACTGAGCTATCCAGCCAGCCACTACCCAATGAGAAGGCACCTCTGTCATTGTCTTCCACAGTCTTCCTGAAAGTTGTCTTGTGTTGGATCCCCAGGGCAGTCTTCTCTGCCTCAGGTCGTCCAAGAGCCATGCTGTTTAACAAACCTGTCGCCTAAAAGAAGCATAAAAATTAGAGTCACTGAGAAAAGGATTTTAGAAAGCTTAGGACATTCATTCATTCATTCATACATTGCATTTATACCCCACCCATCTAGTCAATAGACTACTCTGGGCGGCTTCCAACATATATAATAAGACGATATAAAATATGACAACATTATAAACATCAGTAATCAAATTATTCAAGATGGAAAGAGATAAGAGAAAGCAAATCAATTAATAACTTAAGGGAAGAAGTCATTTAGAAGGGAAAGGAAAGAGTCATTTAGAAAAAGAGGGGAAGGACAGAAATCTGTTGAATTAACTGTTAGAGCAGTATAACAATGGAACCGATGACCTTGGGAGATGATGAGCACTCCAATGCTGGAGGCACTCAAGAGAAAATTGGGCAACCATCCTGTCAGATCTGCTTTGATTTGGATTCCTGCCTTGAGCAGGAGATCAGACGTGATGGCCCCTTCCAACTCAATGATTCTATTATACTGTGAATTACAACGGCTGCTGATTTGTTTCCCAGGACAACTCAAGACAATGGCGCTTAGCTAATGATGAGCACTCCAGTGCTGGAGGCACTCAAGAGAAAATTGGGCAACCATCCTGTCAGATCTGCTTTGATTTGGATTCCTGCCTTGAGCAGGAGATCAGACGTGATGGCCCCTTCCAACTCAATGATTCTATTATACTGTGAATTACAACGGCTGCTGATTTGTTTCCCAGGACAACTCAAGACAATGGCGCTTAGCTTTCAAGCCCTCAAATACTCACAGAAGTGCCTCTTCCCATATGAATGTACTAAGGACAGCGCCTTTTTCGTGGTGGTGGCCTGATGAAATGGTTGGACAGTGTCATTGAAGTGACCAACATGAATTTGACACAACTCCGGGAGGCAGTGGAAGACAGGAGGGCCTGGCGTGCTCTGGTCCATGGGGTCACGAAGAGTCGGACACGACTTAACGACTAAACAACAAACCTGACTCTAGAATTCTCTCTCTCTACAGAAGGGGGCCTAGTGCTGACAGCTTATTCTCCTTTCAGCTTCAGATCAGGCATTTAGGTTTCTCCGGGTATTTCAACAGGTTACAGACAAAGGTTCTTTTAAAATCTGTACAAAGGAAGAGCAGTTTAGGATTGGTAACAACAAACAACAATAGATAAGGAAGAGAGGCATAACATACTGAAGTTAGTGATTCTCAGAATTCTGTCTGGGACTTCGATAATTACAAAGCAGTATGGGCTACTGTGCAGGCTAGGTTTCTAGCACTGGGAGACTAAGCCAATGCTTTGACTCAACTGTAGCAGGATCTACTCCTTTTTTTTTTTGCATCTCCTCCTACCTGATCTGACTGGACTGCAGCCACTTCCATTGTTAACGGGGAAGCCCTTGAACAAAGCTGCAGGTTCATTCCACTACCTGTGAAGGAGATAGAGGAGGACAGATGCTTTTCCAGCACGTGGCAAACCCCCTTTCTAGGATGGAAACCCAACTGTTGCCAGGGCATGAAATGAAAGGACCTGGATGTGTTTAGCCTGGATGGTAGAAAAGGGGACTCGGGAGAAACAGAATAACATTCTTGATATCCAAAGGAGGCATCAGGAAGTCAAGGATTTGTTCTCTGTTGCCTGACAGTGTAGGGCTCAATTTCGCTGAATATCACGAGAAATTTGTTTGTTTGTGTCTCTGTGTGTTTGTTTTTCATACACTCCATTAATGCACTATTCTGACCGATTTGCAAATGATTAAAACACAGCTTCATCCTCAATTTTCTTGAGGATAAAGAAGGTTGACAATGTACAGTGGTGCCTCGCTTAACGACGATAATTTGTTCCAGGAAAATCACTGTTAAGCAAAAACATCGTAAAGCGAAATAAAAAATCCCATTGAAACGCATTGAAACCCATTCAATGTGTTCCAATGGGGTAAAAACTCCCCATCCAGTGAAGATCCTCCATACGACGGCCATTTTCGCTGCCTGTATAGCGAGGAATCCGTCCATAAGCACAGGGGGGGAGCCATTTTAAGCACCTGGTGGCCATTTTGAAAACCCGACGATCAGCTGTTTTTGATCGTCATAAAGCGAAAATCGGTTCCCGAAGCACGGAACCGATCATCGCTAAACGAAATTCCCCCATTTAGGCCATCTTTTTGCAATCGCATTTGCGATCGCAAAAAGATCGTCGTAAAGCAGATTCATTGTAATGCGGGGCAATCGTTAAGCAGGGCACGACTGTATTCCCCTCTTTAACTGGACAGCTTCAAGTACAGCAACCTAATAAGGGTGTTTCTTTATTTACTATATTTATATCCTGCCCACCTAGTGGTAAGCTACTACTCTGGGCAGTTCACCATACATAAAAACACCCCACTTCCCCCACCCTAACCGAAAAGACAAACAATGTCCTCTCTCTGGCCGTTCCCAACTAAGTGGAAGGTCCCTCCCAGCTCTATGGTTCTGTGACTCTATGGTTTTTGAGATTCCTAGAAGTGAACATAGAGCATTTATCTCATAAAATATAATGTTTCATACATTCTGAGAAAATCTTTCATGGTTGAAATGAATTCCTCTTTGCAAACCTCAGCCTACGAACTAGCTTTCCCTGATACAGGGAGCCCAGTAGTTTGAGAGATACTCTGGGGAGGGATGGCAAGTTAGGGAGCGATCCCGCTGCCTCTTACCCAGGGTGGGGGCACCTCCTGCATTCTCCTGCACGATCCACCTGAATGATATCTTCTTTTCTGCCTCCACTGGAGCCTCTCCCTCCTCAATGGCTGGGTTGGCTAACATGGCTTTCGCCTGAAAGGGACCACGAAGACTGGTGGCAGGGAACGAGGCGATTGTACAAGGAATGGTTCCATCCAAGGGGGAAAACTCATCGAAAGAATTGCCCTGACTAGATGTTTGCTTCCGGGCAAAACTCAAGGCACCAGTGTGTCACTTTCCAACCCTCAAATGACGGTTCGGCAGGCGCCCCTTCCCCAACCCCAACGGCCCATGCCTTAAGGTGCCACAGAGTTGTTGTTGTTGTTGCTATTTGTCAAGTTGACTCTGACTTATGGGGTTCCGATGAGTTAGTCACCTCCAAAATATCCTCTGTTCAACAGCCTTGCTAGACTCTTGTAAACTCAACCCTGTGGCTTATTTTAGGGGGTCTATACACTCATACTTGATACACATAAACAAACAAACAAACAATTCATCTCGTCTTTGGTCTTCTTCTTCTACTGCTACCTTCATGTTTTCCCAGTATTATTGTCTTTTCTAGTGAGCCCTGCCTTTTCATAATGTGATCAAAGTAGGACAGGACCTGTATCCCTAAATAGAGTTCAAGAACTGAATGATGGACATATAGCTAAGAGTGTCCCCTTCAGAGGCAGCACCCTGACTCTAGAACACCTTCCTGACAGGTATTGATATTACTGTTTCTGTAGTACCAGGACCAGACATTGGTATTTATATGGTTTTTGCATTTGTTTAGTCGCTAAGTTGTGTCCGACTCTTTATAGTACCAGGACCAGACATCAGTATTTATACAGTATAGGTGTTTTTTTTTTGTTTTTTGTTTTTGCTTTTGTTTAGTCGCTAAGTTGTGTCCAACTCTTTGTGACCCCATGGACCAGAGCACGTCAGGCCCTCCTGTCTTCCACTGCCTCCCAGAGTTGGGTCAAACTCATGTTGGTTGCTTCGTTGACACTGTCCAACCATCTCATCCTCTGTCGTCCCCTTCTCCTCTTGCCTTCACAGTTTCCCAACTTCAGCATCTTTTCCAGGGAGTCTTCTCATGAGATGACCAAAGTACTGGAGCCTCAGCGTCAGGATCTGTCCTTCCAGTGAGCACTCAGGGTTGATCTCTTTCAGAATGGTACTTGTACTTATCCTCTGCTCTTCCTCAGTAGCATGTTGGATGCCTCCCGACCTGAGGGACCCATCTTCCAGTATCATATCTTTTAGCATTTTGTTTCTGTCCATGGAGTTTTTTTTGGCAAAGATACTGGAGTGGCTTGCCAATTCCTACTCGAGGTGGATCACGTACAGTCAGAACTCTCCACTATGACCTCTCTGTCTTGGGTGTCCCTGCACGGCATAGCCCACAGCTTCTCTGAATTACCCAAACCCCTCTGAATTACCAAAGGCAGCAATCTGTGAAGGGGATTTATATAGTTACTATGTTAGAAGGCAGCAATCCGTGAAGGGGATTTATATAGTTACTATGTTAATAATTTGCAGATGGGTTTTAGTAGTTGGAACTACAGTAGGATCCCGGTATCTGCAAGGGATCTGCTCCATGATCTACGTGAATGAAATGTACAATATAACAAGGAGGCGGGCCAAAGATCACAAGGGGTGGAGCAATGGCCACAAGACCCAACCACTCCTTCTATGTTGTATACAGGACTGCAGTAAATCACGGATAACTGAAACTGCAGATACAGTGGTGCCCCGCTTGACAACGATAATCTGTTCCGTTAAAATCGCTGTTAAGCAATATCGTCATCAAGCGAAAGTAAAAAACCTATTGAAATGCACTGAAAACCGTTCAGTGCATTCCAATGGGTGAAATATCTCATCGTAAAGAGAAGATCCTCCATAGGGAAAGCCATTTTCGATTGCTGTCTTCTGGAAATAGGTCCAGAAAACAGCGAGCGGCAATTTTGAAAACCTGACGATTAGCTGTTTTTCATCGTCGTGAAGCGAAAAACCGGTTCCCAAAGCCAGGAACCGATCGTCGTCAAACGAAAAAACCGCATTGAATCGTTGAACAGCGGTCGCAAAAAGATATAATCATAAAGCGATTTTGACATCTAACGGGGTAATCGGAATCGTTGAATAGCGATCGCAAAAAAATAATAATCATAAAGCGTTTTCGACATCTAATGGGGTAATCGTCAAGCGGGGCACCACTGTACCAGTTCTGTGGATACAGGGGTCCTAATGTCCTCTCTATGGCTAGAAGAGCAAGTCAGTGCCTCTTGATCTGCTCCCCACCACAAAGAACCAAAATGTCACAAACATCCCATGGACTTTCAACCTCCCACTCTGAATGTTTTTCATAAAATAACTAGTAAATGAAGGAAGCATTTAGAGTAGCATTCGTCACTTGTTCTCACCCTTGGGATTATCAATGTGAAATGCTCTCACCTGCTCTGCTTCCTGATTCTTCTTCTCCTCTGCCTGGCTCAGGAGGAAGCCTTCGGCCAGGGCCACCGCCTGGGAACTGGTCTCGGCTCCACATTCCCTCACCCAGCGGGACATCTCCGGGGGAAGGATGGCCAGGAACTGCTCCAGGATCACCAGGTCCAGGATCTCAGCTTTTGTGTGCCTTTCTGGCTTTAGCCACCGACGGCAGAGAAGGTGGAGTTGCATACAAAGGTCCCGGGGCCCCTCCACCTCCCGGTAAGAGAACCCCCTAAATCGCTGAAGGTGTTCATAAGATCATGAAGTCGGCTGCAAACATCTCGGGGCCCCTCCGCCTCCTGGTAAGAGAACCCCCTAAATCGCTGAAGGTGTTCATCAGAACCAACTGCATCCTTGCCTGGGTCCTTTTGCATCAGTCTTCTGCAGGACGGGGCGATGTCCCCGGTCTTGGTAGCTTTAGAGCCACTTTTTTCTACTTTAGCTCCAGCCCAATCTGGTTCTTCCATCATTGGTCCGTGCTCGTCCTCTAACGTGACCCACGGGAGTTCCTTGTTCTACTGCAAATTCTTTAGGGTAGGAAGAGCAGGAGAGGTGGCGGTAGATGAAAAGTGTATCACACCCTGTTTTGTCTGCACAGGAAAAGAGGAAGCTGCCGCGCCCCTAGGCGGACTGTGGGTCTATCTGGCCCACAAGTATGGACGAGGGCAGGCAGCAGCTGTCAGGTGAGAGTTTCTCCAGGCATCCTGAAGCCCTGCCTAGGATGGAACCAGGGACCTTCTACTGGCCCCGCATACTCTGCCACTGAGCTACTCCCTTTCCATAGTCACTCTCCTTAAACCCAATTTATTCCCTAAGAGGAAGGAGGCTTTACAAGGAACACTGTGGGGAATCAGTCTGTTGACTGGGAATTCCCCCAGGGGAGAAAAAAGAGAGAGAGATTAATACCAAATTTCAGAAAGACATCAGCTTCAGAGACCCCCAGATACACATGCAATACTGCCTCCCTGTTTTCCCTAGACATCCTCACCTCTGGGAGGACTGCACCAGTCCTTTCTCCTTTGCATCTTTTCTCTCCCTTTGCAGGAAGGAGTTTGAAACTGGTTTAGATGCATTCAGATCCACAATGCACCAATTCACCAGCTGGCAGAGAAAAAGGGGGAAACGAGGACAGTTTTGAGGAGTAATCCTGGAGAAGGGTCAGCAGCACAACCCTCTTTCCTTGATGGGGATCTGGAAGACACCAGGAGAGATTCATTTGACCCTTTCAGACCCCTCTTCCCCCTATTACTGCAAACATAAATGAGTTTGAAATGAGATTTTCCAGCTCATAGGGAACCACCTTGGAATCTTACTCGGGGAATCGCCAAGCTTCACCAAAGGAAGACCATCCAAGTCAGAAGCTCCCTGATGGGGACACTGTGGAGGAAACCTGACCCCAGGGGCAGTGAGGAGTCATCCCAGGCTCATTTCATGCCATGCCCAGCCCCGCTCCTCTTTCTCCTCCTCCGCCTGTCCTTCGCTTTGCCTTTTATCCTTCCTGAAGATCTCTGCCTTCTGCAGCAGGAATGAAACGTCAAGCTGATTGGATGGAAGAAGGAGGCCGGAACTCAGCATCGCCGTTTGCAACCCTGGTGCCGCTCTACCAATCGAGCCTCTCTTGTTTTAACCCTGAGATGGACTCTCACTTCGGGCACTCTCTCCCCCCCCACAACACGGGGGGGAGGGGAGATTATTCCAGCCAAAAATACCTTCAGGCTTCTCGTCGTAATGCAAGAGGGATTTCCCTCCTCCCTTTCTGTTTTTTTGCCACATCATCTGATCTTGCGTCTTGGTTCAGGAGGGTCGCCATAAATTGTAATTGAGAATATTCAGGAGACTGAAGACGGGCAGAAGGACTGCCCTTCTGACAAGGATTTATTTGCATTAGAGGGGGTCCCAAATTGCGTGGGGGGTTGTTGTTGTTTTGGACTGTTGTTGTTTAGTCGTTCAGTCGTGTCCAAAATTGCGTGGGGGGTTGTTGTTTTTTTCGACTGTTGTTCTTTAGTCGTTAAGTCCTGTCCGACTCTTCGTGACCCCACGGACCAGAGCACGCCAGGCCCTCCTGTCTTCCACTGCCATTCATGTTGGCAGCTTTGATGACACGGTCCAACCATCTCGTCCTCTGTCATCCCCTTCTCCTCTTGCGATCACACTTTCCTAACATCAGGGTCTTTTCCACTCCCGTCTTCTCTTCTCATGAGATGGCCAAAGTACGGGAGCCTCAGCTTCAGGATCTGTCCTTCCAGTGAGCACTCAGGCTTGATTTCCTTCAAAATTTATACAGTACTCCCCCTCCCACCCCCCCTTTTTTTAAGCCATGGAGTTCCCCTCTCAGGTTTGCTTTGCTTTCGTCTTAGGATCATCATTTGCCCGAATCCTTTTCACTTCCCCTTGGAAGTGAAATGCTCCCCCTGGCAGAGGTCCATACAAGTCTCCAACTGAAACAAACGGGGGTTGGCACTTGTGCAAGGAAATTCTGGATACCTCCTTGGGCAAGCGTGGATTAAGTCCTGCCACTGACACAATGAATTGGATTCTGCCCATGATGGTGCCATCTTTGTTTTTACCTCAGTGCTGGAAGTTCTTGGCATCTGCCTCACTGGAGGTCTTCCCAGGGAGCAACATAATTTTTCCAATGGTTAAAACTGCTGCTAGTTTTCTTTAGAGCCTGTAACTACAGGCTTGGGCTTTGGACCTGCTGAAGATCTGTGTCCTATGGATTCTGGCAGTTCCACCCTAAGGCCCTAAGTACTGCAGCGAAAACTCTGCTTGCCACCTGGGTTCAATCCCAGATAGCCGGCTCGAGGTTCACTCAGCCTTGCATGCTTCAAAGGTGGGTAAATTGAGTACCCAGCCTGTTGGTAGTGGGAGCAATGTGTGATCTGCATCATTCAATTGGAAACCACCCAGAGAGTACTTTAAGCCTCATGGGGCAGTATATAAGCACACTTTTAAGGCCAACTCCTAAGAAGCCCCATTTGTGGGTTTGCAGAGCAGTCCTTCTAACTGCCTCTGAAGAGAACCACCTGAAAACAACAAGATCCCTCCTATCCCCCATCTAATTTTTCTCCCCCAGAGATATGATCCTGCCCTTGTGACAGGAGAGGATGAGCATGTTTAGCTCCCAAAGCTGCTCTGCTAATCATAGAAGTTCCAAAGAGGACAGCGAATTCCTGGGATGGACAGTTTTAGTCCTCACCATGCTTGATTTACTTTTCCTTTAGGTTTAAAATGCCATCTGAACAAATCCTTTCGTCCAAAGAAAGTATCTGCCCTTATTCCCACCGGGACACTTGAGGAAACATCCCTGTCTTGAGGTGGTGCTGAACGGAGTGTGTCTTCACAGCCCCGTGTCCGGCAGGAAGGAGCCCCCGGGTCTGGGGGCCAGAACAGAAAAGGACTCCTTAAATTATTTTTTTTCAAAACACTTCTTTTGCGGATCATATTCTGAGGATGGACTGATCTGATGCAGGCGCTGATTGCTGTAGGAATGGGTACTGCTCAAGGTCCCAGCCTTTCGGAGGATGGAAAGGAAATCACCACCGCCCTGAATTAGGGTCAGGAGGAAATAGGCCATCAGTGTCCTTCTTTCTGTGAATTTCTGTCTTTGCCCAGAAGCTTCCTTTTCTTTTCATATTTGCCCCTTTCTCTGTTGTTTCTTCTTTCAGGCAGCTGGTGGCTTCCCTGAGGCAAAGAAAACTCCACCGGACGCTCAACAGAAGGAAGTATCATTGAAGTGTGAAAGACGTGAGGAAGAGACCGCGAGGTCTCTGTTCAGCCTGCCGTTTCGAAAAACTTGCTTTCAAGGTTCATCACTCTATCAAGAGTCATGGGCCTCATGATTCCCCATGGTCCCTGTTTGTTTCAACAAGCAAAGGCGTTCACGCTACCTGCACTTCAGCTGCCACCAGTTGATTCCATCAACAATACCTATTATTAATAATCAAGGTCCAGGCCATATGTCATTTAAAAAGAACCAAACAGAAATTGTTTCTTGATACAGATGTTGACAGAACAAGCAATGTTGTTAAATGGTTGTTGTGGGTTTTTCGGGCTCTTTGACCGTGTTCTGAAGGTTGTTGTTCCTAACGTTTCGCCAGTCTCTGTGGCCGGCATCTTCAAAGGACAGCACCCTTGTGCCCAGTGGGAATAAGGGCAGTGCTGTCCTCTGAAGATGTCAGCCACAGACACTGGTGAAATGTTAGGAAGAACAGCCTTCAGAACACGGCCAAAGAGCCCGAAAAACCCACAACAACCATTATGTCCCAGCCGTGAAAGCCTTTGCGAATATAATGTTGTTAAATCTTAAACAAACATTCTCTTTTGAGCTGGCCTCTAGGTCTTGTAAATCCTGAGGTAAAATAGTTGAGTAGGTATTTTCCTTCTCTTAGGATTACACAGATCTGGCTCCAGAAGCCCCCAAAACTAAGTCTTCACCAAAGACTCTAATGGGTACCAAGGAGCTCACACTACATGCCCCTCAGCTGCCAACATTGATTTCATCAACAATACCTATTATTAATAATCAAGGTCCAGGCCATATGTCATTTTAAAAGAACCAAATAGGAATTGTTAATTGATAACAGGTGTTGACCGAGCAAGCAATGTTGTTAAATCTTAAACAAACGTTCTCCTTTATCCTTCTCAACCACCACTCTCCCACCCAAACTCCCCAACTCTCTCTCTCAATCCCTTCCACTCTTCTTCTCAAAACCCTACCTCCCTGGCTAAACTCCTCCTGCTGCTGCTGAATCTCTTATACTGTACCTCGCGAGTGCTCCCCTCCAGCACTCCCATTGGTTTATGCAAATAGCTTATGTATATTCATGACCTGGACGAACTGACCTGGGCGAACGCAAGAGACACAGATAACAGACATTTCAGTCCAGAGGTAGATTTCCCAAGCACCAGTTATCTGGCTGTGGAGCAAATTACTATCAGTCCTAAAGTATCTCCCTTATTTCCTTTCTTTCCCTCACAGGTGACGAAAGGAGCCCAAGTCCTTCTTCAAGACCTTCTCCTGTAGCAATGGAAATGGCACTTGTATGGCCTCCCTGACCCTTCTCTCAAACCACCCATGTTCTCCATCCAAAATGAGTACAGCTTGGTCATCAAATGAGTGTCCTTTGCCCTTCCCATGAAGGAGGGCTGCTGATTGTGGTCCTGAGCCAGTGCCTTTCCTGTGCTGGGCCGTTCCCCTGTTTAGTGGCTGTTTGGT